ACGAAAGTCCATCACCTTGCCGTAACCCCCTTCGAGAAGGGACTCGAGAGTGTCCCCGATACTCGAACGACGCACATCACTCGATCCATCGTCGCCTTGACCAATTGCGTCAGTTTATCCGGAAATCCGTACTCGTGCATAATTTGCCATAGTTGATCTCGATCGATTGTGTTGTATGCGGATTTGAAATCGATGAACAAATGATGTGTGGGCACGTTGTTTTCGCGGCATTTCTGCAGAACTTGCCGAATCGCGAAAATGTGGTCCGTGGTAGCGCGGGCACCCATTAATCCTGCCTGGTATTGCCCCACGAACTCTCTTGCAAACAGTGACAGGCAGCGGCATAGAATTTGGGAGGGTACCTTGTAGGCGGCGCTCAGCAGTGTGATCGCGCGATAGTTGCAGCAATCCAACTTGTCGCATACGACATCTTCCATCCACTCCTCCGGTAATATCTCCTCCTCCCAAATCTTGGCAATTACACAGTGCAGCGCTCTAGCCAGTGCTTCACCACCGTATTTTAATAGCTCACTTGATAGTTGATCTACACCAGTTGCTTTGTTGTTCTTCAGCCGACCGATCTCCTCCTCAACTTCTTGAAGATCAGGGGCCGGTTGCCTGTCGTCTTTTGCGCGTGCTCCAAGGTCTGTTGCCGTGCCACCTTCGTTTTCTGCTGCTTCACCGTTGAGGTGCGCGTCATAGTACTGCTTCCACCTCTCAATCACCTCACACTCGTTCGTGAGAAGGTTACCGTCCAAGTCCTTGCACATATCGGCTTGCGGCACGTAGCCTTTGCGCGAACTATTTAGCTTCTCATAGAACTTCCGTGTGTCGTTTACGCGGTACAGATTTTCCATCGCCTTGCGATCTCGGTCTTCCTGCTGACGCTTCTTCCTTAGGAAAACCGAGTTTTGTCTGTTCCGCGCTTGTCTGTATCGCTCCACATTCAATCTCGTGCGGTGTTGCAGCATTCTCGCCCGTGCTGCATTCTTCTCCTCTACTAACAGTTTGCATTCGCCGTCAAAACAGTCATTTCTTCGGTCTGGGATCGCAGTACCTACCTATGGCGGAACGGATGTCCTTCCAGCCATCTTCAAGAGAAGCTGCGCCAAGCTGCTGCGCGTAGTCCTGGGCAACTCCGGCGTCCCGTAGTTGCTCAATGTTGGGTCGCGGCGTTCGACTTCGACGTGTGTTATGCACCGTCGAGAGTTTTGAGCGCATGCATACTGCAACTAGGTAGTGGTCCGAATCAGGGCTTCACAATATCAGCTTCAATCGACCAAATCGATGCGACGAAGAGACTGCTGGCTTTCTTTTTCTGTTAAAGTCGAACAGCTTCGCAGCATTCTAGAACCTCAGTCGGCGTGCACAAACAAATGTTCAATCGCTTGTCTCTCTTTCTCCCGTCGCTCCATTGGTCTTCCTTTCAAGCTTCGTCGAAATGGATGAGCGAAAGAGCGCTCGACTTTGATAGTTTTCTCTTTCATGAAACACATCAACAGAGGTTTCATGACGTATATGACGGAAAATGAAATAACACATTTAAAGCATTTCTCACGTCAAAACACTTGAAGATTACACGTCATATTTCTAATTTATCTTCCATCCATATATTTATCTAAAAAAAATGATCGAAAACGGGACATAACGCATTTTAAACAAATTGAAAGAGCGGCGATAGAGTGTTCGTGAAAGGGGATTGAAAGCCATAATGAAGTTCGTTTAACTAGAAAATCGACGTTATTTACATTGAAAGCGATGAGCAAAGCAACGACGAGAAGTTCCACAGCCAGCCTTTCCTTCCAAGCGTCCTTCTTTTTTATTTTCGTTTCTTGCTGATAGTCTAGCTAGGCGTTATAGAAATGAAGCGTCGAACACGTATGTATGAGAGAAACAAAACACGAGTTCATTTTAGAGCTTCGAAATTGTAGAGCCCTGGTCCGAATCATAGATTTTAGAAAAACTGTAAAATATTCAACAATTTGGGTATTTTCGGAACGAGGACGACTGTAGATGTCTAAATTCGATGTCCGCCGCCATTTTGAAATCCCAGATGTGGCCATCGGTTTTATAAATGCTGTCAATTAGCCAATAATATGGGTACCTTCGGAACAAGGACGTTGTGTAGATGCCAAAATTCGATGTACGCTGCCATTTTGAAATCCCAGATGGTAGCCATCGGTTTTATAAAAACTGTCAAATACGGTACAATATGGATATTTTTGAAACAGAGAGGTCTAAAATCAATGTTGGACACTATTTCGGAATCTAAGATGGTGGCCATCGGTTTAAGAAATGCTGTAAAATTCCCTACAATATGGGTATTTCCGGAACGAAGACGACGGGTAGATGTCAAAACCCGATTTCCGCCGCCATTTTGGATTAAAATTTGGCGACCATCGGTTTTCTAAAAAATCACTTCACAGAAATATTAACATTCATTGATTTTTCAAAAACAAGAAGAAGACACAACCGCAGTTTACACAATTCCAAACACTGACACAAAAACATATTATTAAATTAATTGTAGGCTCCGAACTTTTATAAAATCCCGATCTAGTCTAAATAAATTCTTCTGAGACACGTTCTGGCACAGGTTCGGGCATATTTGACATTAATGTGTAATCACAACCGGATCAATTATATCTGATTGTTAAACCTCATTGTCTGACCTTTCAAGAGAGGTTCTGCGGATATCAAAAAACTCTCATGGTTCTGAATATCAAGCATTTTACCATGAAATATATTTCGAAAGTTTGAGAGCAGGGTTGCTTCCACTCACTTGCTATAAAAAATGTTTTTTTTTCGGAATTATAAAAACGTTAGATGTTATTATGATAATTGGTACTTATAAGTTAAAAGGGGAGATTGCAAAGTATGTATGTATTTGACACATGAAACCTGTCAATTTCGATTTAGAGTGCCATAATCAGTGAATTTATGATTCGTGAGCGTTCACTCAGAGTGAGCGCTCGCGAGTCGTAACATCGCTGATTGTGACTATCTGATAGCGAATTTGACAGATTTATGTGTCAAACACTTGCCTTTCAACCTCTTCCTGTATCCAACAAGTACAAAATATAATTTTAACATGTAATGATTCCAAAATTCCGAAAATCATTTTTTTATAGCAAGTGAGTGGAAGCAAGTCTGTTTGAGAGTAACAAATATTGTTTATTGCCCGTTTCAGGGCAAAATGAACTGTTTTCCGCTGACCCGCTAGATGGCTTGGTTGACAGCTGCGAACGTGTTGATTATAGCTGGATCGCTCAAGGATCGCTATGAAAACTTGCCTAATTTAACTAGATTGCAGGATGAATTTTCGGTAAGGTTTGTACTCGAAAAAAATGCACCATTTTTATCCGGGTGTAACCTTTTTATCCGTGGGTAAAAATTGATGAAAATTTGGGTAGAACTAGTTTGGAGTGAATTGTTTACATGTGCAAAATTTCATAACAATCGGTTCAGGGGTTATTGAGATGTCATCGAAACAAGAAGAAAATCGCCGGAGAATTTTGCGCGCCGTCATGGAAAATCCGACTGCGACCATGAGATGGATCGGAAGACAACTGGGAATCACCCATACAACTGTGTCTCGGGTCGTTTAAGGAGTCCCAGACGACCGAGCGGCGGGCTGGAAGTGGAAGAAAATCGAAGACAGCTGACCCTGTGAAGGCCCGGAAGGTGTTGGATTATTTCAAGCGTAATCCGAACCTTTCGATTCGCGACGCGGCTCTGAAGGCAAAGTGTTCCGCCTGGTTCGTTCAGCAAATCATGAAACGGGTTGGGCTTCGTGTATTCAAGGTCCGGAAGGCACCGATGGGGCGTGATCAACAAAACACGGCGGCCAAATCCCGCGCAAGGAAGCTGTATCGAGAGTGGTTAACGAAACCGATGTGAGTGGTTATGGATGACGAAACCTACATCAAGGCAGACGCAAAGCAGATACCGGGGCTGGAGTTCTAAGTTGCCAAATCACGGTTTGATGTTCCGGAAGACATAAGGAAGAAGAAAGTGAACAAATTCGCCAAAAAATACTTGCTCTGGCAGGCCATATGCCAATGCAGTAAACTAAGTAAACCGTACATCACAATGGGTACCATCAACAGCGAAATTTACCACACCGAGTGCCTCCAGAAGCGTCTGTTGCCCTTCCTGCGGTTCCACGGAGGCGAGACATTAGTTTGGCCGGACCTGGCATCATGCCATTACGCGCGATCGACGTTGGATTGGTACAGAGACAATAACGTTGTTTTTGTACCAAAAACCGCCAACCCCCAAATTCACCAGAGATTCGTCTGGTGGAAAGATTTTGGGCCATAATGAAGGCCAAAGTTCGAAAATCGTCCAAGGTGTTTAAGAACGAGCTGGAGTTGAAGAAAGAATGGATGAAAGTGACCAAAAATGTCGGCTCCACCATTGCACAAAATGTAATGAGGGGTCTTGAGGGAAAGGTGCAGGCTTTCGGCGATGGAGAGGAAATCGAATAAAGTAATTATGCCGAAACATAATCCATATGTATTTGTTCATTCCCTGAAAAGTTTCAAGAAAATCCGACTTAAAATAAATTTTTGGCGATCACTTTTGTCTGGTGCATTTTTTTCTAGTACATGTCTTATATTTTTAGGCATGAAGTTGGAGAATTCTTGAAGTTTCGGAAACTTTCAGCACTCCAGGGAAGAACTCTCGAAGCAACAGAAACTCCAGGTCATTAACTCCCTGATCTTGCTACGTTGACTTGACTATCTGAGCCCCCCTATTAATGGTTCACTTTAATCTCCGAAATCGGAAACCTGTTCTTGAATATAGGAAAATTGGCTCCAATGTATATAATCGATATCATTAGAAATCGCCTGTTCTGGACAAAAAATGAATACTTTTGGTTTCTAGATTATTCAGGACTCTTAGACCGACATTTAAGACACAACCTACTTACGTTTTTCAATACCTCCTTGCATGCGGAACAATTATTCATGAACACATTTTCCTTCTTCTTTCAGGTAAAGCCCACACATGCAAGGAGGAGCAATTTCAGTGCAAACTGACCAACAAATGCATCCCGCGGAGTTGGACCTGCGACGGGGATGCCGACTGTGGAGTGGTGGAGCAGTTCCGTACCATCGACGTGTCGGACGAGGACGCGGAACTGTGCCGCAGCTCGAAGCACTGTCTTCCAACGCAAACCGTTTGCAGCAACGGCAAGTGTTTAGATATAGAGAAATTCTGCGACGGACTGTGGGACTGCTCGAACGACGAGCTGCGGTGTCCCAAGAACGACTCCTCGGAGTGCGATGCCCTGAAGTGTTCCTACGACTGCCGGCAAACGCCGAACGGTCCAAAGTGTTTTTGTGCCAAAGGAAGTCAACCGAATGGAAGTGTGTGCGAGGATTTTGACGAGTGCAAGATCGAGGGGATTTGCGATCAGACGTGTAAGAACCTTCCGGGATCATACAAGTGTACCTGCGCCAGTGGGTACGCCCGGATCGACAACAAGTGCCTGGCTATTAATAGTGAGTACTTGAATCTCTATAATCGTTGAATTTCGACTGAACCAAATGTTCTTTTACAGCTCCAAAGGAGGAACCAATGTCCCTTCTCTTTGCCACATCAGCTGATGTGCAGAAATTTCCTGTGATCAACGGTACCGTCACAACCAATGAAAGTTCACCTAGTATAAAATTGCCGTTCAATAATGTCCGAGCGTTGGAGATGTATCACCGCAATCGAACGATATGCCTGATTCGGTCAACACCGAACACCCGCTTCGAATGCTACAATGTGGACAATGTGACCCATACGTGGGAAATGCCACTGCCAGACCTGTTTCCCAACATCGATTCCGTCGATCAGGTCAGCATAGATTGGATCTCCGGAAACTGGTACTTTCTGGATGATCAACGAGAAATTATCTTCGTCTGTTCGGCCCAGATGCAACACTGCACGATTATCCTGGAAAATGATCTCATGAAGCCTCGGGGGATGGCTCTGGATCCTACCGTGGGGTTTCTCTTCTTCACCAAATGGGGTAAATCGTTGGCCAGTGTGGAGCGGTCCTTTCTCGACGGGAGTAACCGAACGTCGATCGTGCTGCAGAAGATCGTTTATCCCCATGGGGTGGCGTTGGACCTAGCCTTGCAGCATGCGTACTGGGTCGATACCTATTTGGATTCGATCGAACGGGTTGACTACGATGGAAGCAATCGGTGGTTTCTGAAGAAATCTGCCAATTTTATGATCAACCTTCAGTCCATTCATACGGTTAATGTTTTCGAGTCAACGATTTTTCTGGCCTCGTGGAAAAACCGATCCATAGTCGCGATCGACAAGTTCACACCGGACGCAAAGCTGGTCACCACGGACATTCCACGGGCATTTCACCTGCACGTGTTTCACCGGCAGAAGCAACCAGAAACGGCACACCCTTGCCGGCGACAGAATGGCGGTTGCGATCATCTGTGCATTCCGGTGTGGAAGAAGTCGGTGGCCATCGGGCTGTGCATGTGCTCACCGGGCTATCGGTTGAAGTCGAAAACGCAGTGCGTGCTAATCAAGCGGCCAACGTTTCTCATCTATGCCAAATCGAACCCCGGAATGATTCGTGGCATTCCCCTGGGTTTTAAGTCACAGGAAGCCATCGTACCGGTGTCGGATCTCGGACGGGACATCACATTCGACTATCACATCGAGGACCAGCTGATCTACTTTGCGCATCACGATAAGTGAGTATTCCCGGCAGACGGTTTTAACTGTGTGGCGTTTGTGAAGCCATTTTGGAGTTTTAAGGTAATGTTGGCATTTTTAGGACCGTTGATATCAACATAAAGCTGAAATCATAATTTGAAAAATTTTATAACAAATCAATTTGCTGCACATTTGCTCTTTAAAAATATGTTGTTGAAGTTTTGTTTTCATTGCCTTAGCGGAACTTCAACCGGAATACTCGTTTTGTTATCAACAGGAAAAATGTCCATCAAATTGAGTTTTCAGATTGCTCTCACTGATAACAGAATTAGTTTTTAATTTGATGTCACAGGAATCGCATATTTTTTAACCGTTCAAACGATCAAAATGACAGCAACCATTACCAGCTACATCAATTAAGTTTTCAATAGTTTTAAAGGTCTTCTTCAGCCTTTTTTAAGTGTTCGAATCTGGCCATTGTTGTGAAGTTTTCGGACACTAGCGGTCCTCTAGGTTGACGCTAGAAATCTTTTGGATTCACCCTAGCAGTTCGTGGAGGTTCTCCGAAAGTATTGTATCTGAATTTACCGTTTACGGCCTTTCAACTTGCATTTTAAGCCCTTTGTATCTACACCCAAGTCCTTCTGAATTTTTTTTCACAGTGAAATGAGCCAAAGATGTCCCTAAGCAAAATAAGTTGATTTCAAGTACGATACGGTACAATTGCGACACACCTCACTTCACTTCGGCACACCCCCCTTAAATCAGTCTTCTGACAGCCCCTTCGTAATTGAGCAGGATCCATGAATGATGGATGTAACTGTTTGCCTTCCTTGCTTTGTGCTCCACCCCCATAACTTCTCACAGAACGATTAATTGCAAAACAATAAACCTTTTCCTCATTCCTTCCAGAATCCAATCAAAATTCTCCATCGAGAGCCAAAAGCTGGACGGAAGCGGTCGGGAAAAGCTCTGGGAAGCGGAAGGTTCCTGCGACGGGCTGGCCTACGACTGGGTCGGCCATAATCTGTTCTACACCAACTCCGAACGGGGACGCATCACGGTCCTCAAGTTGGGTGCAAAGCCAATAGCTCACATTCTGCTCAACGATCTAGTCCGACCGCAGTCGATCGTGCTGGATCCGAAGAAGGGCATGATGTACTGGTCGTCGTGGGCTCCCAGAGATGGCAAAATCGAGTGGGCCTGGATGGATGGCAACCGGAGGGACACGCTCGCCGACGGACATGTTCGACCGATGATCTGGCCCAGCGGACTGGTGCTGGATCAGATCCAGAAGCGACTGTACTGGTGTGACTCCCGGACGGGGTTGATCGAGACTGTGACCTTGGATGGGCAGGACCGAAGACTGCTGTATGACGGGGAGGCGGGGAATCATTACCCGGTGGCGATCGGAGTGTACAAAGAGCAGATTTATTTTTCAGACAGCGTGAAGGGCAACATCGAGCGGTTCAATGTGAGCAATCCGAATTCGACCGACACGATCGCGGTAGTGAAACCGCGATTGTTCGGGCTGAAGATATTCGACAACCTTACGCAGTACAATGCCAACCATCAGCAGTTGTGCGACAATGGATGTCCGGGAATATGCATCAACACGCCAGTTCGTGCAGAATGCGTCTGTGAGGAGTCGTTTGTGCTTAACGAAAATCGTACCGAGTGCGTACAGTTGGCCACGGTTTTTAAAACTCCGAAGAAGTGCCCCAATGCGACGGATTTTCTGTGTAAAAACAGAGTCCAGTGCATCGATCAGAGGTTTACCTGCGATGACGATCGGGACTGTGATGATGGAAGTGACGAAGAGCAGACGCCGGATGGACCGTGCAATCCGAACTGCGATCTGGAGCACAACTTCAAGTGCGATGATCAAAGGTGCATCAATAGGTGAGTTAACGGATAGGTAATTTCCTGCTGTTCTAAAATCTGTAATGATCAAATTCAACAGGTCCCTGGTGTGCGACGGCACGGTGAACTGTATCGACGAAACGGACGAAGACTACGTGAACTGCTCGAACGTGACCTGCATCGACAACTTCTTCCAGTGCGAAACCAGTCGACGGTGCATTCCGAAAACTTGGGTCTGCGATCGTCATCCGGACTGTGGTCCGTACGATCTGTCCGATGAACCGGCGCACTGCCAAAAGTGTGAAGAGTTTGAATGCAAGAATGGAGTTTGCATCTCGTTCGAGCAGCTCTGCAATGGAGAGAACGATTGCGGGTAGGTCCAGCTATTCTTTAGCGATATCAGATTTATTTCAAGACATGTATATTTTCTTCCTGATTCTGGTGTAAAGTGAAGTAATCGAATATCTTACAACAGCGTTTCTATTTCAGTGACCACTCGGATGAGGTTCAGTGCGACATAGAGTGTAAAACGAATGAGTTCTACTGCAGTCCGTACGGGTGTATTGATCGGTCGCAGATGTGCGATCCCAAGTTGAACTGCTTGAATGCATACGGTGGTTGCGAACACACGATGAACGGCAGCAGTCTGAACGGGACGACTGTGGCTCCGGCTGGACCGGCCAAGACCGAAGATGAAGTGGCAGCTCAATGCAGGCAAGAGGTTCAACAGCTATGTGGCAGTGATCAAAAGTGTGTCGATAATTACAACAGGTTGTGTCAGAATGTGACTTTTTCGGTATACAACGAGACAACGGTTTGTCAGTATCCCAACAGAACCTGTCTGGCAACGAATACTTGTATCAATGTCGATCAACTCTGTGACGGAAGAATGGATTGTCCGGACAATATGGACGAGGGATTTCGTTGCAAGGATCAACTTTGTGATAAAGCCCCCAAGGAATGTTCCCATACTTGTCACAACGCACCGGAAGGCTTTGTGTGCTCCTGCCCGGAGCATCTATACCTACAGCCCAATCTGAAAGATTGTAAGGTAGACCATGCTTGCGAACATTGGGGCACATGTTCGCAGGTTTGTACCCCCGATGGAAAGCATTACAGATGCAGTTGCAAAGAAGGATACACTTTGACATTCGACAAGTTCACCTGCCGGAGCAATAATCCCGACGCGCCACACGTGATCTTTAGCAATCGACAGGAAATTCGTGGTGTAGATTTGAACACGCTGGCCGTGAAGAATTTCTACACATCACTGAGGAACACAATCGCGCTGGATTTTCTCTGGCGGAACGATTCGATTCAGGTCTTCTGGACGGACGTGATCGATGACAAGATCTTTCGAGGAACGCTAACCGGAGACTCGTTGAGCAACGTGGAAGCCGTCGTTCAGTCTGGGCTGTCTACGGCTGAAGGACTGGCGGTGGATTGGATCGGAATGAATTTGTACTGGATCGACAGCAACTTGGATCAGATCGAGGTTGCTAAGACCAACGGTAGCTACCGGAGAACTCTAGTTGCCGGGGACATGGTTAATCCTAGAGCGATCGCATTAGATCCCATGGAAGGACTACTCTTCTGGACGGATTGGGAAGAAGGTGCTCCCAGGCTGGAACGATGCACGATGGCGGGTGAAGACCGCACCACGATCAAGTATGTCGGTTTGGACGGGGGTTGGCCCAACGGAATAACCTTAGACTACGTCCTGAAACGAGTCTACTGGATCGATGCCCGCTCGGACTCGATCCACACGATAACCTACAACGGCAACAACCACCATCTGGTCATCAAAGATCAGGAGGTCCTGTCGCATCCTTTCAGCATAACACTGTTCGACAACTACGTCTACTGGACCGACTGGCGAACCAATTCGGTCATCCGTGCTAACAAATGGAACGGCACGGAGGTCACCGTCATACAACGAACTCAAAGTCAACCCTTTGGTATACAGATTCTTCATTCCAGCCGACAACCGAACGATCATTCCCACAATCCGTGTGGGCAGAATAACGGGGGATGCTCGCACCTGTGCCTTCTCAGCGTCAATCGGACTTTCCAGTGTGCCTGTCCGCATGTGATGCGACTGAACGGAAACAAGAAGCGTTGCATTCCCAACGAAGAGATCTTACTGTTTGTCATGTCCACCGAGATCCGAGGTGTGGATCTGCAGCAACCCAATCACTACACCATTCCGACCATCAGCCACCAGACGCAGGTGGTCCAGCCAGCAGTACTGGACTATGACATATCGGCAACTCGACTCTATTGGAACGATGTGCAGTTAAATGAAATCAAGTCGTCGGACTTGGCGACGGGACCCATCGAGACCATCCTGGATACGGACATTGCCAATTCGCTGGGTTTCGCGGTGGACTGGATTACGAAACTGCTGTTCGTCTCCACGGGAACGGAAAGCAACAGCCGAATTCTGGCGTGCAACATGAAGGGGGAGTTTATCACGGAGATCCTGACGGATCTGTCGCTGGTCAACTCGCTGGTTGTGAATCCCTCCAAGTGAGCTTGATTTTCTTTTGATTTTCTTAATAACTCAATCTAATCAGCTTTGCAACAATTTCAGGGGAATACTGTACTTTGCCACGACGAGCGAATCACCGAAGCTGTACGAGATGTACTCCAGCCGGATGGACGGTTCGGAGAAGCAGTTGATCAGCAATTCGACCTTCTATCCGATGGAAAGCTTGGTCCTGGATTTCGAAACGGAACGGCTGTACTACATCACCGTTAATATGGGAGAGATCTACTACTATGACATTGAAAGTGGCAAGGTAGGTTGGGTGAACAGTGTGCTTTTGTCCGAGGTCCTCCCAGTCCCAGTCAAATATCTGGGAAGTTTCACCAAATCTTAAAAAAAGTAAAGAAATACTGCAATAGAAGTTCAGTGAACATTCAGAGGCAATTCAAGACAAGCTCAAAGAACGACTGAAAAGATCTACTAAAACTTCTCACGAAAATGTCCTGCTCATTTTCTAGAATTTTCTCTAACTTAAAAACCATTTCTGAACTTTTCAAAACATCACCTGAAATCTCCCTGAACTCTCTACAATTCCTCAAACCCCCTTGGTAGATCTCCAAAAACAGTAACAATTCAGCTACTTAGACTAACAATAATCCACCTTTAACCTCAATCTGTAATTCTCCACCAGATCATCAAAGTGCTCGCGTCGATCGGTTCGCATCCGATCAGCACGATGACCATCTACCGAGAGCACATCTACTTCGACGACGGGTTCGACAGCCGGATCATGCGCTGCAACAAGGACCTTTGCCAAAATCCGGAAGCCGTGCGGAACAACACCGGAGGGGTTAATGCGATCCGGATGTACCACCCGGGAGCGCAGAACGGTACCAATTCGTGTCGCAAGACCAACGGAGGCGGTTGTCAACATCTGTGCGTGCCGCTGTCGGCTCAGACGCACACCTGCAAGTGTGCTATGGGTTATCGACAGGATGCAAACGATGCGTCACGGTGCGTGGGGATCGAAAATTTCCTAATGTACTCGATTGGGCATCAGCTGAAGGGATTACCGGTGGGGAAGGCACTAAACCAAAAAGAAGTGGTGCTCGGACCGCTGCAGAAGATCTCATTGGCTACCAGTATCGATTATCATGCGAAAAGTGATTTTGTTTATATTGCCGACAATGATCGGGGGTCGATAACGAAGATCAAGCGAGATGGTAGCGAACGATCGGTGATTGTGAGTAATTTTGAACAGGTGGTTGATGGGAACTCGTTGGATTGGCTGGGTGGAATCGCGATCGATTGGGTGGCCGATAATATCTACTGGACGGATCAGAAGAGGAACCTTATCGAGGTGGCGCGGTTGAATGGGTCGATGAGGTTCGTGGTGGCGTCGAACCTGGAGAGTCCACAGTTGATCGCGGTTGACCCAATTGGCGGATATATATTCTATGCTGGAAAGGGCAAGATCGGAAGGACCGGTTTGGACGGTACGGGGAAGTTTATCCTTGTAAATCATACTTCCATGATTAGTGACCTGACATTGGATATCGACAATCAGGTTGTGTACTGGTGCGAGGTTCAAACGGACAGTATCTGGAGAGTTGATTACGATGGAAATATGAAAAATGTCCTGTTGAACAACACGCTGGACAACGTTCAGGCGTTGGATTTATACGAAGACAACATTTTCTGGTCAGATGTGCGAGGGAATATCAAGGTGGCAAATGTGAGGAACATCAACAACTTTTGGTCGCTGATCGAGTCCGAGGGAAATCCCATGAAAGATATTAAAATATTCTCGTCCAAGAAGCAACAGAAAACCAACGCTTGCGGGAAAAACAATGGCGGCTGCCAGCATCTATGTTTGTTCAACGGGACGCATCCAATTTGTGCTTGCTCACATGGTAAAGTATCAACAACGGACTTCAAAACCTGCGAACCGTACGATAGTTTCCTAATTTACTCGCGGGTTTCCGCAATTGAGAGCATCCATTTGACCGATTCTCACAATCGTAATGGTCCTATCCCGGAGATTCAAAACTCGACCTTCCTTAAAAACACGATCGCCCTAACGTACGACTACGACCAAAACTTAATCTACTATTCGGACGTCGAGTACAGTTCAATCAACTCTGTGTATTTCAATGGTTCACACCATCGGCAGATCATCACCAAGCAGCTAACCGTCGAAGGTCTAGCGTTCAACCCCATTACCAAGCACCTCTTCTGGACGTCGAACAACGAAGCCTCCATCCGCTCGTTGGACATGACCAATATAACCGCTGATCCCAAATCCAATGCCGGTTTAGTTAAAGAGCTGATCAAGCTTAAACCGACGGATAAACCCCGAGGGATCGCCGTTGAACCATGTCTGGCCATGATTTACTGGACCAACTGGAACCCGCTGTCGGCGTCAATTCAGCGAGCCTATCCTTCCGGTTTCGGCTTGGAGAGCATCATCACCACAGACATCCGAATGCCGAACGCTATCACACTGGACTACCAGGCAAAGAAGCTGTACTGGGCTGACGCTCGGTACGACAAAATCGAACGTGCAGACTACGATGGACGAAATCGGGTAGTGCTAGCGCACTCAACACCGAAACATCCCTTCGCGATGGCCGTCTATGGAGATTTACTGTTTTGGACGGATTGGATCCTACACGCAGTGATCCGGGCGAACAAGTACTCCGGAAGCGATGTGCTATGGTTGCGAAACGATATCGTCCGGCCGATGGGCATTGTAGCTGTGCAGAAGATCGACCAAGACTGCAGTGCGGATCCGTGCCGGATACTGAACGGTGGCTGTGAGGATGTGTGTATGATCGATGCGGCTGGAAAGATCCAGTGCAGCTGCACTCAAGGAGTTCTCGCAGCGGACGGACACCGATGTGTTCCTCTGCTGTCGTCTCACTGTAAGGAAGATGAATTTAGCTGTTCGGCCGGAGGATGCATTCCGTTTTACCTGACGTGCGATAAAATCCCACACTGTATAGACGATTCGGACGAGGTGCCGAGTTTCTGCGCGACCCGGGTATGTCCGAAAGGCTTCTTCCTGTGCTCGAACCGTCGTTGTATTCCGGAGTCGCAGCGTTGCGATGACATCCAGAACTGTGGCGATGGCAGTGACGAGGAACTTTGTCCGTGTGATCCGGAAACAAAATTTCGGTGCAACAATGGACAGTGTATATTGAAAAAGCATCACTGTGATCACGATCCGGATTGTGTGGATGCTTCAGATGAGATTGGTTGTCCAAAGGTGCGCAATTGTACAGACGGAGACTTTCTGAACTGCCCGAACACTTCCGCTTGCTACATGCCTTCGTGGGTTTGCGACGGAGAGAACGATTGCTGGGATAACAGCGACGAGCAAAACTGCAGCACTACAACCGTTCCAACCTGTCCGACGGATAAGTTCCTGTGTGACAATGGGCACTGTATTCCACAGAACTGGCGCTGCGACAACGAAGATGACTGTCTGGACGGTACGGTCACTAGCCTGAGCTCGGACGAGGTTAACTGCACGCGTCACTGCAAGTCAAATCAGTTTCAGTGTTTGAATTCTTCCGAGTGTATTCCGAACAGCTGGCAGTGCGACAATAATCCGGACTGTGCCGATGGATCGGATGAGGGAGAACACTGTCAGCAGCGAAAGTGCCCCGATTGGGAGTTCCAGTGCCCAGGAAGTGGACGCTGTATTCCTAAGAAGTGGGTTTGCGATGGAGAAGTCGACTGTTTTTACGATGGATCGGATGAGAAGGACTGTGACTCGATGGATCATAGCTGCGATCCGGATTCATTTACATGTCATAGTGGGGAGTGCATCAGTAGAGTGTTTGTTTGCGACGGAGACACGGATTGCGTAGATGGATCCGATGAACCCATTAACTGTACTGAAAGTAGCGTTGTGGTAACGTGCAAACCCGAGGAATTCCGGTGCAAGAACCAAAAGTGTATTCCGAAAAATCTAACCTGCAACGTGAACAATGATTGCGAAGATGGATCGGATGAGGACATCCAGCTGTGCAAGAACACGACCCTGATCTGTGCTGGTCCGGAACTATTCCGTTGCGAAAGTGGAGGGTGCATCACTAGTGGAATGCTGTGCGACGGAGCTAACGATTGCGGCGACTGGAGTGACGAGAAGTCGTGCAAGATCAACGAATGCGAACAGATGCCGGAACTGTGTGCTCATGCGTGCGAAGATCGCGAAGTCGGCTATGAGTGCACTTGTCGGCCCGGGTTCAAAGTTAACGTGATCAATAAGCATCTTTGCGACGACATAGACGAATGCGTTGATCGACCTTGCAGCCAAACCTGTATCAATTCCTACGGATCGTACCACTGCTTATGTCGCGAAGGTTACGTGATGCGAGAAAATGGAACATGCAAAGCAAATACCGTCGAAAATGTGAAGCTGATATTCTCCAATCGGTATTACGTCCGAGAGGTAGATCTCAATGGAACCATGTCCATCCTGGCTCATAACCTATCGAATGCGGTGGCGCTGGACTTTGACTGGGAAACAAAGTGCTACTATTGGTCCGACGTGAATTCGGTTATCAGCTCCATTAAACGCATGTGTCTTAGTTCGAATCGCACAGAAACCTTACACAAGTCCACTCTAAAGAACCCGGACGGCTTGGCGATTGATTGGGTCGCCCGGAATCTCTACTGGTGCGACAAAAGTCTGGACACGATTGAAATCTCCAAACTGGACGGACGCTATCGGAAGATACTGATTTCGGATAACCTCCAGGAGCCGAGAGCGATCGTACTGGATCCCTTTCGCAGGAACTTGTACTGGACCGACTGGGGTGATCAGCCGTACATCGGTAAGGCAGGTATGGATGGATCGAACCAAACCATGCTAATCAAGAACCATCTCGGTTGGCCAAATGCTCTGACGATCAGCTTCGAGACGAACGAACTCTTCTGGGGTGATGCCCGCGAAGATTTCATAGCCGTAAGTGATCTGGAAGGTCGCAATCGGAAGGTGGTACTCTACCGGGATATGCATCCGAGCATGAACCTGCATCACATCTTCGCCATTGCCGTGTGGGAAGACCGGATCTACTGGACCGATTGGGAAACGAAATCTATCGAATTCTGTCACAAGTATCGAGGAGACAACTGCGGTACGTTGATGAAGACGATACATCGACCCATGGATCTGAGAGTCTTCCATCCTTATCGGCAACGGAAACCGATAGAGGACCCATGCCTACTCGCTGGCTGCACTACACTGTGTCTTTTATCGCCGGAAGCCCCAGGTTACAAGTGTGCCTGTCCGGATAATTTCATCTTGGGGACAGACAACAAGACCTGCCTTCCGAACTGCTCGTCGGCTCAGTTCCAATGCAAGACCACGTTCAAGTGTATCCCTTACTACTGGAAGTGTGACAAACAGGATGATTGCGGTGACAACAGCGACGAACCGGATGATTGTCCGGCGTTTTCCTGCGAATCGGGCCAGTTCCAGTGCGACAACAACAAATGCATTAGTCCGAGTTCGATTTGCGACGGTCAGGATCAGTGCGGTGACGAGTCGGATGAAAAAGATTGCGACGATTATGAGTGTTTCAGTTCGCAGTTCAAGTGCAGTCGATCGAGTACGAAGAATGCATTTTGTTTGGATGGACATAAGCGTTGTGATGGGACTCAGGATTGTCCCAATGGAGAGGACGAGGATGGTTGCGAGGTGACGACCTGTGCCGATCATCAGTTCAAGTGTGGTTCGGGCAAATGTATCACCAAGGTTTGGGCTTGCGATGGCGACATTGACTGCACGGATGGGTCGGACGAACGGGACTGCGGCGAGCGGACTTGTGGGGACAATGAATTCAGGTGACTACCAGCAAAGGTTTTGATTTTGGGGATGATTTTCAAACAGTGTGATTCAATTTCCAGATGTAAAAAGGGTCGCTGCATCCCGATGTCGTGGCGCTGTGACGGCGAGGATGACTGTTCGGATGGAGAAGACGAGAAGGAGAACTGCAAGCCACCGGATGTGGTGACGTGTGAGGCGACCTACTTCCGGTGTAACAACTCCAAGTGCATTCCCGGCCGGTGGCAGTGTGATTACGAGAACGATTGCGAGGATAATTCGGACGAGGTCAACTGCCGGATGCGTAACTGTTCGGAGTCGGAATTCCGCTGCCGGGATGGATATTGCATCAGGGGTATTAGGAGGTGCGATGGGGAGTACAACTGTGCCGATCATAGCGATGAAGAAGATTGCGACGTGAGCTGCAAGCCGGACGAGTTCAAGTGCAAGAGCCACAACATGTGTGTGAGCACGTAAGTAGAATAATTTGGGTTATAATGACTCCCCACTCCCCCTTCGTTTTTCATAATTAAATTTGTTTGCTAACGTCCATTTTCCCTCCCTAAATCTCCCAGGAACTTGATCTGCGATGGTGACAACGACTGCATCGATGGATCGGACGAGGAAAAATGCGCCTGCCGTGACGACGAATACCGATGTGACAACGGCAAGTGCATCCTCAAGAACTGGGTCTGCGATGGAATCGACGACTGTTTGGACCGATCGGACGAAAAGTCCGAGTACTGCCAGGAGCATGGATGCAACAAACGTGCCTTCAAATGTAGCAATAGGAACTGCATCCGTAAGGGGCTGATGTGTGACAATAAGGACGACTGTGGGGACAACAGCGACGAGAAGGGCAGTCTGTGCCACAAGTGTCCGCCGAATTCGTTCCGCTGCAGTAGTGATTCCAAATGCATTGCCAACGAGTTGCGATGCGATGGGCTGCCAAACTGTTTGGATGAGTCGGATGAGTTGGGCTGCCGGCGATCGGATTGTGGGTTCGGATCGTGCAGTCAGATTTGTTTGGTCAAGAAGGGACACTACAATTGCCAGTGTGCAGCCGGCTATCAGAAGGGACCGAAGCGAAACGATACCTGTTTGGCGACGGAGGAAGGTGGTCTGTTGCTGGTTTCGTCCGAGTCAGATTTCAGAAGCATCTTTCTGGGTACGACGGTGATGGGCTTCCTGCAGACAAATTCCATGAAGATCGATCGGTTCGATTACTCAATCACCAAGCACAACATTACGCTATTTTGGATTGACAGTTTCGATAAGAGCTTACAAAAGGTTCACATGGACACTACCGTGAAGGTTGAAGAATCGGCAGTAGCTCAGCATAGTGTATACCGTAGAAATCTGCCACCGAGCGATCGTATCAAGACGTTAGATGGCAAGCACTCGATCGTTGTTCTGAAAGACCAGAAAGTCATTCCCCTTGCGATCGCTTGCGATTGGCTGACGGAGCACATCTACGTGATCAATAAGAAGCAGAGCAACATCTTTGTGATAACCTTTAACGGTACCAACCACACGACGTTGACAGCGACCGGAAAGCATCCGATCGACATCGTGGTCGATCCAATTAATCGAGTGATGGTTTGGTCCATTATGGAGGCAATCATCCTGTCCGGAATGGATGGATACAAAAAGCAGAAGCTGGTTCAGGCGAACATCGAATGGGCTTCGGGGTTGGCGATTGATCAGACCACGAATCGGCTGTACTGGGCCGATTACCGCAAGAGTACGATCGAGACGTGTCTGCTGATGACCGGCGGGGATCGGCACGTTATCAGCGAGATGCACGACGTTTCGAAGCCAAAACTGTTGGACGTCTTCGAGGACACTGTCTATGTGATACTGTACAATCAGAACATTCTCCGGCTGAACAAGTTTGGACGGGACAACGGTACGGAGGTGTTCCAGGGCACGAGAGGATACCGGTCGTCCGATTTGCACTACATTCATCCGCTGAAGCATAATCGGAAAGGTAAGTTCAAGCGGTTGGATGATGCAATTTTTATTTTCCACATCCGCCAAGTTTGAGATTTCACAAGTGTCTAACTCAGGAAATCGAAAAAAAAATGTCAGGCCCCAAAATAATGAAGATTTATTTACATTTCAATTTTGAAATTTGAAGCACCGTACTCAGCAGGATGAAGGTCAGGCATTTGTCACCAAAACATTTCTGATGTGCGGACAAATTGCTCCAAAGTTTCCTTATCTGTTTACTTTTTGAAAATTTGCTCAACTTCTACGAACTTCCATCAACTTCTTCCAAGTTCCATAAATTATTGTTTTTCAAGTTCTCTCAATTTGACCAAGATCTAAGAACATCCAGGACTATCTCCAAACTTCAGGAAAGAGATTGAAGCTTTTCTAAGAGTTTTCCTAAATATCTGTTAAGCGAAACAAAGTTCCCATATCAAACCCTGAAGTTCTAAGAAGTATGCTGTATACTTATGCTTATTTCAGAACTTACTTTTCTGAAATGGACACAATGGATACCTTAAATTTGACCAAAACCGTAGAGCATCAAATTTTAGTAAAACCACAACACAATGACTTGTCTTTTGAATTCTCTGGACTTGTAAAGTCCTCGGAGCTTCAAGTTCGCTAGACTTAGTTCACTGGAGTTCACAGTATGTGGGTAAACTTTACAACCCCTTGCTCCTCACTGACCTTTCGAAGGCCCTCAACAGCTGTACCAAATTTGATAGTATTTGGTTGTGATTTAGAAAAAGTCCATACGTAGACAATTTTTGATCCGTAGACTAGTACTTCAGGGTCACTTCATAGGACGAAAGCTCATCTTCTAACATTTCAAAAACATAGCTGAAGTACCCTCTAAAGTCAAAGTTAGCTTGCATTAAGATTGCACAGTAGACCAAATCCTAACCAACCTCCTTACACACACCCACAGCTGCCAACCCATGTAGCATGTACCCGTGCCACGAATCGGCCGTATGTCTACTGTCCATCGAAGAGCCCCAGGGTCGAAGGTGTCTATGTCCGGACAATCACAAGGTCGCAAACCAAACGGCCCCGATCGTTCAATGCACGAAGGAAGCACCAATGGAGTGCAAATTGCCGTGCAATTTCGGAACGTGCGTCATCGAGAACGACCAGCAACGGTGCCAGTGTCCGCCGCTGTTCGACGGCAAGTACTGCGAGCACTACATCTGTTCCGGATACTGTAAGAATCGGGGAGCGTGCTACATCGTGAACAATAACGAGCGCAAGTGTACCTGTCTGCCGCAGTGGACCGGAGAACAGTGTGATATTTCTACCGAGGCTTGCTTAAGCTACTGCCACAATGGAGGTAACTGTTCGATTTCGAACAACGGGAGCCTGTCGTGTAGCTGCCCGAAGGGCTACAGTGGCCCGCAGTGTGAACAATGTTCAAATCTCAGGTGCGAGAATGGTGGCATCTGTAGGAAAACGGCCACCGATAAGGACCAGTGCGAGTGTCAAGATGGATTCAATGGCCGCAGCTGTGAGATCAACACCTGTGACAACTATTGTCACAACGGAGGTCGATGCACAATAGAAAAGGGCCTTCCGAAATGCAGTTGCCTGGAAACAACTTCCGGTGATCGATGTGAAAATCTCGGTTGTAAGGAACTGTGCAGAAATGGAGGTTTTTGCATATCCGGTAAGAACCCGTTCTGCAGCTGTCGATCAAATTACGAAGGCCCGTACTGTGAGATCGATAATTGCGAACGTGTCCAAAATCGACCGGACGGTAAGTATACCGGTGCCACATGTGGTGTTCAAAAACTCAAATGTTCGTGCTTTCAGATTGCCCAGCGTTACGTTCAACTGTACCGACTTCGTGCGAACATTTCATCTGCAGCAACAGCGGTCACTGCATGGAGGTTCGCGGAAAACCAATCTGCAATTGTACCAACCAGTACGGTGGCAAGCACTGCGAAATGTACGTTGGCTACAACAATCCGTGCATTAACTACTGCTTGCACAGTGGCATTTGCCAACTGGATGCCTTCTCGGGAGCGAACGTGACGTACGTGCCGTCGTGCGTGTGTGTCGGCGAGTGGACCGGAACGCAGTGCGAGCGGCCACCGAACTGTATCGACGAATGCGGTACATGTGTGGCCGGTAGTTCCATCAATGAATGCATGTAAGTTTTCGATGAACCGATTTCCAACAACATTCACCAACATAAATGTCTTCAGAGTTGGTTGGAAATGCTAACATGAAGCTTTAGTGTGATGATAAATAATAAGCTAATAAAGCTAGAGAATGATCTTTAGAAGAGGGTAGGTGGATAGTTCCGTTAGAGTACGGCAGTATGAAAATTGAATAGAAGTTGAAAATGAGCGAAGGGCCATTAATGCGACAGTTTTTAGAGATAGACGCACATTTTTGCCTAACCCGTACGATGTACGCGGGGACTTGAAGTATGTCTCCAAGTCCACAGGCAAAAATGTGCGTCCCTCTTTTTGCTCATAAACTGACTGCGGCTGTGGAATAGTTCTAGCGACGTTTTCATCACTACCTAAAGCCCCACGTTGCGAGAGCATTTCCAGTCGATGGTGTGTTATAATGCAGTTCTTCTTTACCCAACTATTGTGTTGCTCCTCTCGTCATGACCAACGTGATCATCTCAGAGAGAAAGCAGTAGGGTTAGGCAAAAATGTGCGTCTATCTCTAAAAACTGTCGCTTTAATGGCCCTTCGCTCATTTTCAACTTCTATTCAATTTTCATACTGCCGTACTCTAACGGAACTATCCACCTTCCCTCTTCTAAAGATCATTCTCTAGCTAATAAATCATCACACTAAAGCTTCATGTTAGCATTTCCAACCAACTCTGAAAATCGTTAACTTCGCGTATGAAGTAACATAAAAACACTTTGAATATAAATGTCTTTTTGTTTTTTTTTTAAACAGGTGCGAGGACGGACAGCTCAGCACCTGTCTGAAGGAAATCGCTCTCGCAGAACTGGAGAGCCGAGATCGAACCGGTTACACGCTGTCCATTTTAGCAATTGTGCTATTTGTGATACTGATAGCGGTAGCCGGCTTCGGAGGGGCTCTCTATGGATTGAAGTAAGATTCGTGCGATTGATTCATTGGTCCGAAATTGATCGATTCTATTACTTGCAGGAAACGAAGGGGTGGGCAACCATTTTCACACGCTCGGCTGACGGAGAACGTGGAGATCACCAATCCCATGTACCTGGGTGATGTGGAAGAGGTGCCGTCGTTTGTACACGAGGATGATAAGGTGAGTGCGAAGGGCACGGTTTCTCATATTTCTCACAGGGTAGAGCGCTACTTCGTCGTAATCGCCCATTTCCGTTCTATCAATTAGAAAAGATCAATAATATCAATGATTTCACCGTGCACAAATCAATAATAGGTTTGTTCCGATGCGTTAGTTCATTAGCAACAACATACATCCTATTAGAGCGCATTGTATGAATATTTACTCTAATTGTTTTCAAAACAAAAGAAGCTCCTCGCGAATCCCCTTCCAATCGAACCGTCAAAATACACCGCTTTGCTCGATTGGAACAGCTTTTCTTCAGTTTTGTGGTGACAGTCGTCCATACTTTAACTAGAGGGATTTAGGATTTAGTTGAGCCTCTGATTTTCGCAGGGGTTGGCAAAAGCGTCTCGCACGGCCAATGAGATCAACCCAAATTTGAGTTGGGTTTACTCATAATCGCTAAACGTGCAGGAACTCAGCGATGAGAAAATTTGCCATATGTTTTCCTGTGAAAAACAGCAAAAATCTGCCGGCAAATGAGAAAAATTGACGAACATTTTACTCAGTCTAGGAGCAGTACCAATAGACTGAGAGAATCCAATCTTTACTTTTCTCATATTCGGGATTTTTTTCCTGGAAAAACATGAGGCAAATTTACTCGTCGCTGAGTTCCTGCACATTTGCGATTTATGACTAAACTGAAATCAAATTTGGGTTGATCTCATTGGCCTGCGACACAGCTCCCTAAAACCGTTTGACTTGCTAAGCATTATCTCCTGTTTAACCCATTAACGTGATAGAATATATCATACATATACATATATATTATACATATTATGTATAGAGCACAAGCCTCTAACACCTAGCGATCTATTTATAGATCAGTTACATGTTTGATTACTGTCGAGAGACTTGGGCTCAAAAGTTAAACACTACCGCTATTCGCATAACACTCCTATGTAGATATGCAATCTACATGACATGGGACTGTTATGCGAATAGCGGTTGTACATGTCTACACCAATATTCGAGCCAATAATTGTTATATGGAACAGTATCTTGAAAATGATAAACAATAAAGATTTGAATCGACTCACTAGGTGGCACTACCCTAATAAAAATGTTACGGTTATTTTGCTTAACGACGTGTTTGGGGTATCATCCAAACCATTTGTGTAAAGTTCGACTATTTTGGTTATCGTTCGTTTATGGTATTTGTTTATTAGGGTATAGTGTAGTGTCTGTAGAAAACTTCGTTTTATCACATTTTATAGAATAAATCTACAGTGAGCATGCATAAGGGCGTATACGCGATGATCGATTCTCTTCATCGATTTTCTTTTTGCATTGCTAAAGCTAAGCGAAACAATTTTCTAGAATTTTTTCAATGTATAGTTCTAACAGGTTGTATTGGCTATCGAAAGTAACAGCAAACGCACCGAGAAACGTTAATTCTAGCGAGTTATTAACAAAAGAGAGAATCGATCATCGCGTTTACGCCCTTAGGCATGCTCACTGTCGAAATTTCTCGAAATGTGTGTTCGATAGAAGATTGTGGTCTTATGCAATGTAATTTTTTTTATTGACGACTGCACGACCAATGAGATCAACCAAAATTTAAGTTCAGTTTACTCATAAATAGCCAAAAGTGCAAGAACTCAGCGATGAGTAAATTTGCCTTATGTTTTTCAAAGTTTTCCAGGAAAAAAATCCCAAATATGAGAAAAGTGAAGATTGGATTCTCTCAGTGTATTGGCAATTGGTACTACTCCTAGACTGAGTAAAATTTTCGTTTGCCGGAATTTTTGATGTTTTCTTCAGGAAAGCATGTGAGTAAACTGAACTCAAATTTGGATTGATCTCATTGGCCGTGTAGAGACAGAAAAAATAAATCGAATGGGGCTTTTACACGCTGAATGACAAGGAAATGCCGAAGGATAGTCGAGGTAGAGTCGGTGTATAATGAGTCACGCCAAGAGTGAAGCCAAGTCTACCTATTGAACTGTCAAAACGGCTACCTATCGTGCAAAGTAAATAAACATTACGATGCTATGAAAGGTTCACGAAAGGTATTGCAATAAAATATAAAATATAATCGAAGAAATGAGCATAAACACGCAGTGAGCGTTAAATTGTCATGGGATACGCTCGGTAATGATTAGTAATGAGAATTTCTACTATTTTTTGTTAAGATAATTTGACAAAATCACTGATTTAATAATTTACAACAGCCGCAGTATTTTTTCTCTCGCTAGAAGTCATTTGAAGTTGTTGTAGAAGTCCTCTGTTGCCAAGTGAAAAGAATTGGAATCTTTCGAAAACCGTGATGCGAGTTCAACTGTTTTTCTCTTGGCGTGACTCATTATACACCGACTCTAAGTCGAGGAATAATACCAACCGGTGGAAACTAACGATTTTAAATTGGCTCACTGCTTGACTAGCCTATTGGTCCCAAGCAAATCGATTAACGTACCCCATTCTAAAAATTCTAGTACTACACTATGTTTGTTTTGATTCGCTATGAAAGTTTGACAGATAAAATGAGGGGTTCGTGGATTTTCCTATGTTTCGAGGGGTGCATCGATTAGCTTGGGACCAGAGATATTACCAGAGCTGAGCCAAAAAGTAGAGCACGTTTCTTCGGAACCTTCTGGTCTTAGAGTTACCTCTATGATAATACTAGCGATGCTGTCGACGAAAGGAATCCAATTCCAAAACTTTTTGGGAGACCCAGCAGAGAAGAGTGAAGTGAATGAGGTTCACGAAGCACTGGAAGCCGTTAAAGTAGACACTTAAAATTGATGAGAATATTTATACAAAATATTGTCAATGGCGTTTGCGTCACGTTCTGCATGAAAACAAACCAGCCTTCTCCAGAAATTGCGTTTCGACGATGAAACGAATCTGGGTGGCGTCAGCTAATGTTAAATTTTGAGACCAATTTGGTGTCAAACGGATTGGCTGAAAATAACACAAGCAAGCCTCGATGAAATTACTAAAGGGTTTTTTGTAATTGTTTTGGCCGTGTTGCAAGAAGATTGGCATAGCAGCAACAGCAGTTACATTCAGTCATTTTCATATTGTTCAAACCGGCTCTATTTTGGTTCGTTTGAAATCGGGGCAAAAGCGGAGGCAGCGTAAAAGGAAATTTAATAGCAGGTGCATGACGGTTTGAATTTAATTTCTTTAATAATAGCTAATAAACTATATGTTTGTTGCTTGCAATTGCCCAATCGGGCAAAATAATTGTTTATTTTTGGGGATATTGCATTTTATACTACAGGGTGTCTCACAATAGGTGTCACTAAAACAAAATTGGATTACAGCAAAACAAATCAACCAAACCATAGCATTTATTTTTCATTTGAAAGATACATGTTAAAAAAACAATCATATTAATTCAATTCAAATCTCTCGCCCTTTTCCTTGATAACTTTGCGCAAACGCTTTGTAAACCCATCGCAGCTGGCACGCACGATTTCTTGAGGAATTTGGTCCCAAATATCAACCAAACGTTTCTTGAATCGATCTAAAGTAAGCCCCTTCGTAGGGCCTATTTGCTGAAGCATATAACTCCAAACAAAGAAGTCAAGTGGGTTGAGATCCGGTAAAGAGACAGGCCATTCTTCGCTTGTGATGAAATCGGGCAAATTTTCCGCGCACCATGCTTGTATCTTCTTTGCCTTGTGAGCTGGAGCTGAGTCTTGCTGGAAACAATATGGAGCATTCCCATACAGCGTTGAAGCATGAGGAAGCAGATGGTTCTTCAAAACCTGATCAATGTAATATTCAGTGTTGATTTTTACGTTAGGTTCTATGAAAAGAAGAGGAAGTTTTCCTTTTCGTGAAACGGCGCCCCATACCATGATTTTCGATACATTCTGATAGCGTTCTACAGCTAGTTTATCTCTTGAAATATCGGCAAGAGTTTTACCATAAACACGATCATTTTGTTGGTTATGACTGTCCTGCAGGAGGAAGATTTTTTCATCCGAAAATAAAATCTCGCAGTCACCGTGCCGAAGAGAAGTGATTTCTGCTTCTTTGGACCCTGGCTTGCTTTTGACGCTCCGTCAATCCGTGCACTCGTTGTTTCTTATACGGCTTGCATTCCAGATCATGTCTGAGGAGCCTGTTCATCGAAGCAGGGGACATTTGAAATTGTTTACTCAGTTTACGGCCAGATACGGCCGGATTACGTCTTATTCGCTCCCTCACACATTTGATCTTTTCCTTTGTTCTGGCAGTTCGTTTGGCACCTCCTTTATGTTGAATATGGACATTCCCAGTATCCTTGAACCGTTTCAAGGTACGAAATATAAATCGCTTACTCACTCCGAACTGCTTTAAGTTATTGAATATGTGGCAAGGTCTAAAATTTTTCAAATGTAATTTCACAACTTGCTCGCGTATGGCTTCCATGTTGGCTGATAAATATAAACAACGGAGTCGCTTATTTATCTTCAGCGATAGACTGTCAAAAGGATACACTCAAAATGGGTATAATCAATTTCACTGTAAAAATTACCCAGTTGAAATAAACCACGAGTGAAAAAAGGTGACACCTATTCTGAGACACACTGTAATTGAAAACAGCATCTTTTAAATTATTAGGAAATTTCATGTGGATGACTTTACGAGATTTCAAATTTTCGAATAGATTAAATAATGTCAACTTTTAAAACAAAAAAGTGAATCGATCATCGCGTTTACGACCTTATGAATGCTCACTGTCGAACTGTTCCAAAAAAAATCCAAGCAAGCGCACATAAACTTCCTCGCGTCATCCGGTAGAAAGGATGCTTTTCGGGAACGATTGAGCTTTCACCTCCCGCATAAATGCGAGCCATTGCTTGACATTTCCACAAATGGTTAAAAATTGTTTATAATCCCTGCTATACCTTAACTGAAATGGTTATTGAACTTTACGTGAACGTTTATGTGATAAAGTTTTAACATTATGTATTATGTTTTTTTGGAAGTGAACCTTACAAATAATGGGTTGTTAAGAACCA